CCCACCCCCCCAACTGTTTCAAAATAACTAACAGAATAGTTGGAGTCCAAACCTCCACACTTCGGTCTGGACGCTTAAATTCCTGTTTGAGTCGTCGTCAGGCTTCCTGCGAGTCCAGCAGGTGAAATGTGAAGCTGCGACTTTGACAAAAAAAGACCCTGTGTGTAGAGAAGACAAAAGAATCTGGACCCCCTTTTATCAACCCCGGTGGTTGCCATGGCAACAGTGGCAGCATCCAGGCTGAGATGTGAGAGTTATTAACGAGCGTGCGCTTCAGCTCCAGCAGACCCTGAGAAACGGAGAAGCTGAGAGCAAGAAAGGACTAAGACGTCGAAAATATGCTACGCCGCGTTGATTCTTTGCAAACTGTCAAAGCTTAGTCGTGGTTTTGTGAGAACTTGATTTAAGTGTTTGAATTCAGGTGTTTCATAGTCAGCCAAGGCAAACCACAGCTAAGGTCAAACAACAATTTGTGTAACTACTTTACAAGTCACAAAGAAATAATCCTCACAAATGCAATAATTTCATGCCATTCCACGCAAAATGTATACAATGTTTGAAAGCCATGACTATATCCAGCGAGGAGCTGGAAGGAGTTCAATTTAAAATAATCAAAAATGAGGCAGCTGAGCAGAGTACAGCTTCATGAATGTAAATTCCAAGATGGGGACAAACATGCTTTGTGAGTTTTGAGGCTTTTGTGAAAGAGGAATGTTTTCCAGGAACAGAACAACACAGTGCCAAGATACCTGCATGTCCTGCAGGTACATTTCTAATTGGAGAGCTGTTTCATGAAAACATTGATGTACACAATAATGGATGACATCTAAACATGATTTCAAGCCTGCAGGGGAAAAAAAAAAAGAATTCAAAGTGGTGAAAAGAAGCAATTTAAATGAATGCCTTGCAGGCAGGGATTATGAAAACAGAACTCTTCATAGAACAGCATTGTAGCTTGTTATCTATATGACCTTACTGTGTCTTTGCTCAGGTTAGTGCTGTTGGTGGGGGGAAAAAAGAAAAAAGAAGAAAAAAAATGTTCCTGTTGCAGCACATTGAGGTGAGCGGCTCTGGCTGCTGTGCATCTCCTGGACCGGAAATCCTTATATGGCCATCGAAAAACAAGCCCAAAGAAAAGAAAAAAAAAAAAAAAGAAAAAAATGCAGCCCTTGAAATAAGGTTACATTTTATACAAACACAAAACTAATTCAGACACACTTAGAAAAAGCTTTAATCACATATTTGTGTTCGTAGACATATTTCTATCATTTTGCAGTGTGCTGTATTTCTTGATTTCAGCCGATATATTTGCAAAGATTGCAGCCTTTTATCCAGTAAATGTTGCTGCACTGCTACATTTCCTCCTCTGTTATCTGGGTTTCCCTTCATTGCAACAAGAAGAGAGCAGCTTTTCATTTGTTTCAAAGGATATCATTTTACATTTTTACGGCTTTAAAACCCCCTTATAGTGACAAAAGCTGCAATTATTCTATGGGACACTTTCAAGCTTCTAATTTATTGTGTTTCAGTTTAAATAGCAAACATGAGTATGTGAGGGATGTATGTGAGCAGTTTAATCTAAAGTTGTTGCAGATGATAACTGATGCTCCACATCTGTGTGGGTGCATACTGCCACCATTTGTTGCATCCCTGTTACTACCTCATGTTGGCTGCTTCCTGTTGCTCCTCAGAAAATGAACCCATTGTTAAATGTACCTCCTTAAATATTTAGCTTTTCCTGTTGAAGAAAATAACATATATTTTCTTTAAGTTGTTCCATTTTTTTGTTTTCCCCATCTGGATGCTGCACAGATCAGTGAAGCAGCAAACTCTTCCTCATCATCATGGTGTTTGCTGGACTTAATAGCTTGACACAACTCAGCACGTCATCCCAGAAGGCCCACGCCAACGCTCACTCGTTGACCCTCACCTGTGCAGGATTCAGATGGGCTCATCAGGGATGAGCTCATGCAGTGCTGTGCAGGGACGGAGCTTTGTCAGGCTTTCAGGGGGGTGCTCTTCATCAATGGAACTCCAGCATGACTCATCCGTACTGAGCACCCACCTCCGATCTTCACAGTGCAAAGCCTCCCTTTTGTGTTGCTGAGCGCGTCTCATTCAGCACTTGAGAGATCAGAGCAGCCTCTGTAAATAATTTGTATTGCTTCGAACGTCAGCACAACTGCATCAGACAGAGGTACGAATCTGTCATCATCTATCTGCGTAAAAAAAAAAACAAGAGTAGTTTCAAAACACCAAATGTTCCTGAACCAGAAACTGGTTGAAAATGTGAAAGCATTCATGAATGTCATTTTTTGATGATTTAAACTAAAAGCAACATGTCAAAGTTACCTAATTTTGTTTGGGAAATGAAGGAATATGTAACCAAAAACAAGATGTACTGCTTATGCAGTCATTTTGATAATAGATGAGAGTGAGTGCATGAGTTTGTCATTTTTAATAACTAGCTAAATGTTTCCTTTTGTGCGCAATAACTGATAATTGTAGGGAAATGCAGCCTTATACTT